TGGGTGGGTGGGTGTGGGTGTGGGTGTCAGGTCTTTATCGGACCCACACCCACCTATACCCACACCCACACACCCACACCCTCAAGATCTCAATTTTTCTACTAATCTATCATCAATTCCTCTCTTTATCCTATTAAAATAACCTTCACTATTCTCAATCATCATATCATTTCTTTTAATAAATCTAAGATTAATTGTTCTAAATACAGATGGAACATATGTATTTTTCATGATCTTATAATTATTTTGTATGACTTTTTTCTCAGGATCATTTAGAGTTTCTAATGTATCTGTGACACCCATAATATATTTAAACTGGAGAGATATTGCAGCATATCAAAAAACTGCCGCAATTAATTTTCATGTAGACGTTCTTCACTTTTTTTTTTTCATGTTCACAAAGATATGTAAGCAAAGTTTTATATCCATAAACAACATTATCTTGTTCAATATATCCAATTTGATCATTTTTGACAACATAATCATGAGACTCGAAATTATTTACATCCGATAGCACACCTTTTAGAGCTTCTCGAATTAATGGTTTCCAATTTGGATATCTATCAGAACAAACTTTATATTCAGTTGTGACTGTCACTTTAGTGGTCATCCATTACAGAAGGAGATGTGCATTGTCCATAATGGGATATGTACTAAAAGAAGAACTTTCAAGTTAAACTGATTTTGACAACATTTTCAAAAAGATACATTATCGAAATTTTATAATATATTTTTTTTTACGAATAAACGAATTATCTCAAAATTATATCGATCACTTACATGATGACAAATAGTTGAACAGTTTTTAAATCAGCATGAACTACAACTGTGAAATTCTCTTTAATGCTGCAAATTAGATTACTCAGATACAGGACAAAAGTACATGCGAAACGATGTGGGTCATAAACATGCGCATGAAGAACACATATTTGCATTCGATAACCTTATTTATTTGCGCAAACACATATGAATCGCATGGAAATGACAAAGTATTTGTTGTGTGTATTTTCAAAATGAAAACAACTTCAAAAATTCAACATGCCCATAGAAAAGAAAAACATATTTTTTTATGAAAGTTTTTACTAAAATGATTCTATGTCGACATACAAGTTTTTTCTATCTTGTATTATGTATACTAATGCATAGAAGACTTAATTTTATTTTTGGTCCTACATATAATTATTTGTTTTACATTAAAAATGAACTTAAGAGTGTGAGTGTGGGTGAACAGACGATCCACACCCACACCCAATTATTGATTCCACTTACGTAATATGATATTGAAACAATAATCATGTCAAAATAGGATGAGGCTGAGCCCAATAGTGTCGTATTCAAGTGAGGTTCAAGCTTTGCCCAGCCTCCACATTTTACCACCTATGAACTGGCGAAAGACACTAATTGTCAGAGTTCTCTATCAGCTTAGATTTCTGTGTAAATTCACTATAAATCTTGACGCATCATCATGTACTTCGATAGACACACCAAGTCTTGTATGAAATAGAACTCAATTACGTAGTGCTTTTTTTGTCTTAGTCGAATGCAGACGGAGTCATATCGACAACATCAGTGATCACGATTGACATCTGCCTATCCCAAAGTTCAAAAACATATCACGATCATTTAGAAGTCAACAAATGTTTTAGTATATCATTAATTGTTCATCAATAGTATGAGCACAGTTTCTTCAGTTGGTTAGAGCCTTCCCACTGATAACGAACAATAGACAAGCAATTTTCTATCTGTTATTTTTTGTCTAATGTTTTGTCTCTTCATTGTTATGATGAACATTGCCTATCACGTTCAACTTCAGTTTATACTCACACTTCTCGTCGAAAATGCATCTGAGATCCACAAGGAGATTTTCAAATGAAAAATTGTACTTCAACATGGGAGCGACTAACCGATGGTTCGAAAAGCTCAATGACAATACCCTCAGTAAATTGGAGAGAATTCTAGCAAGATTCTGTAATGATAAATATTAATACAACGCTCATTTTCCAGAATGGTCATGAAATTACAACTATGAAGAGTGATTTATAACAAAATCTTATTTTTTGAAAATTCTCCTAGAAAATTATTCTATGATAAATTGAAGTACATTTTCGGAAGAAGTCAAAGGTCTAGTTATTAAATAGTAAATGGAAGAGTATTATCGTTAGAGAAATTAATGCTTGAGTATAGGAATGCCTAGCCATTGATCGAAGAGCTTGAGAAAAAATGCCCTTCTGACGGAACCAAAATTCATAGAATAATTACCAACCAATCGAATTCAATCGAGTGTAGAAAAAAATCAAATGTCTTCTGGTTGAATGTCAAAAGATAATAATTGTGAAAATTGGATTGAGAATAACTAGTATACAGAAGTAACATTAATTTCTTTTTTGGTTATTGTAAGAAAGAACATGAGATAACGAATAAAAAGGTTAACATTTCTTTGAATTTAATCGGAAAACGTTTAGTTCTGGAATGTTGCATGAGTTTCTCTACTTTTTTATTCTCTATGAATCTAAAATCCAGTACAGCTATCCATTATCACATCCGAATCTGAATCATGCAAAAGTTTCATTTCAAACTCGCACTGGAAAGTAGTTACACTCTATGAAATTAGGTAATACGCATAGGACTTAATTCTATAGACGCAATCTATGCCATTAAGCGAACAAAACACTTTGCAAGCCATGCTTAATTCATCTACGAAAAAGGATTGAGACTCTGAAGTGATCGAATTCTACTGAAGAATAATCTCAGCAATAATATGTTCTAATTTTTTTTCGTTCCTATCTTTTACTTGTGAAGTTTCTAGATATTGTAGATTACTTAATTGTAGGTTTTCGCACTGATGAACGTTACTTGTTAAATAAAAAAAGACGAATCTTACAGATAACTATCGACGAAACTAATAATTATATGATATGATGAGTAGTCAAAGAGAATCGAACAAAAAAAAAGAATGAATGAAAAGTTTGAAAAGATTTTGATTGAATGAAAAGAGTCTAATAAATGAATAGAAATAAATTTCGATGGTATCGAAAGAAAGAGAAATCTTTTTGAATTATATAAATCTCTCGAAGAGATTTGAATGACATCTTTTCAAAGACTTTGCTGTGTTCCTTGATGTTTTATCTCAATTTAAAAAAAAAAGATCTTAGAAATAAAAAATGTCTTTGTTTATAAATGATAAATTATCTTAGTTTTGGATAAAAAACTTTTATATAAGAGATCTAAAATAATTTTCTTTGATTTGATCGATTACTGAAGTAAAGTAATATTGATTTGTTCGTTTTCATCCATTTCTCTAGAGATTTATTATTATTTGATTTCGAAAATTGAAAATGAAATAAAATATTCAAATCTTTCTTTTTATTTTTATTTATTTCGAAAGGAAAACTGATTTTTTTTCAATATTCATTTTATTACATTTGTTGGATAAAGATTTCTGATTATATAAGTTGAATGAGTATTTCTTCATTTAATAAACAATCGTTTGAAGAAAAGGAAAAGAACATATCTTAGAAATGTTTTTTTTTGTCGGATCAAATGAAATTTAGTCAAAGTAAATCAGAAATTCCAATGAAAGAAATGGAAATACTATCGAAGATTTGAATTTGATATGAAATATCTTTAGAATATTCTATTAATAAATAAAAAGAAAATAACGAAAGAATGAGAAGTTGTTGAAACTTATGACAAAAACGCAATAAAGAAAAATCTTTGTTTAGAAATATCTCATCACTTATTTGATTCAAATCACTTTAGAGGTGAATCTGTCAGAAGATAATTCTTCCCTTCTTTTGATTATTTTGTAAGAGATAATATGCAATTAATGACATGCCTTTATCATAGAGACATTTTCCATTTCAGTTGAAGTGGTATTGTAATGGATTCTAAAGAAATGAACAGAAAAATAAGACTAAACAATGCATATTTAAGAATGAATAGAGATTGTTTTGATTTTGTTATAAAATAAAATTATTTTCAAAAGGACAAAATGAAAAAACATATTTTACAGAAAATAATGGTTTTTTTTTGTTTGTATATAACTTCTATCTCACATTAGATATTATTAAATATATTCCTATTTCAATTCAAGATGATCAAACATCTGATATAATAAATAGATGATCGGATTCAGTATAAAGAATGCTATTTGGTATATCTAATAATCATTAATTGCATTAGAGAAAAGAGAGAAAGAAAAAAAAACAAAGAATTTAATGGTATTCTTTTTTGATGAAGGATGATGTCTTCGGAAGGAGATGGTGAAAATTTTTGTTTGTTTTGCGTATTTCATTTCTTCGTGATTCTTTGAATGATTGTTGGTGTAAATTTTAGTAAAATTCGTTATTTAAAAGAGGTTCTCTCAATATAATATTGACTTGAAAAAGAATTCTTTTTGAAAGTAAAAGAAAATGACGAACTAAAAACAATGTGTTAACGTTTACACTGATCGAATGAATATCTGCTCAAACAAACTAAGGGAATATCTGATGAAGAATTAAAATAATCAATAATTGTCATCATTATCTTCATGATGAATAGTGAAATAAAAAACTATTTACATAGGACACGAACTTTTTTTTGTGGTAAACATAGTTCACCAAGATCTACAAGATGCATTAAGTTCCGACTCAAAAGCATTCCAACACTTGGGAATATTTCTTTGTAAATTGTTTATTTTTAAATGAGTTTTTAAATTAACGATTAATCATTGATCAAGTAAAAATATTTAGAATATTTTCATAAAAAAAAAACTATCGATATTTATGTAGCATATTCTGTTGTATCATTCGTTCATAATCTTGCTCTCTCAATCCTAGTATAACATTAACTGATCCATCTCTTGCATATGCATCCATCATTGGAAAATATCGTGGATATAAGTAATTAGTTGGTCCACTGTAGCTAGGGAATCCACTATTACCAAAATTAACATTCAACAGATTTCCTTTTCCCCATGATGTACAATGAAAATCATGATTAATTATATCTGCATCTACTCAATTTTTGTTTATATCACCATCATCACTCATTAAATAAGTATTATATTCTCTTAATGTATGTTCCGATTGTTTTGAATACATTTCATGAATCAATTCTGCTAATGATGAAAGAGTTGGCTCCCGATCTGATGGTATTTCACCGTAGAGCCAAAATAGAAATGAACCAAAGTAGTTGAGAACGGTTGGTGAACAACAAGAAACGAAATTTGTTCGACCATTGAACGATTGTAGAATTTTGATATTATCAGTCAATGAAGTTTGAGTGGCTGCTGCAATCACTAAAATAATATGAGCATAAAGAGCGTCGTAGGTGCTGATGTAATCAACTGATTTTGATATGTCTTTTGATGCTTCTTTTTTAATATTATTTAACTCGTCAACAGAGAAAAAATAAACTTTAGAAATCACACGTTGTAATTGTGCTTGACTTGATGGTGTATCAGATGATGGATTGATATTTCGATTGAAAACACAGTCTTTTGGTCGAGTCAGAGAATTTATCCGTTTTCGTCGTTGTTCAGTAGGATATAAGATGAAAGTTTTGTCGAGCATGGGCATCTTTTCTGGTGGCTTACCAGAAGCCCATGTATTAATGAAATGTGATATGCTTTCTGCATTCATTAAACAATGAGAAGCTGATACACTTAGAATAACGCTATTACATTTGAGACGCGTTACTTGTATTGACATGCAAGGTCCTGTGCAATCGGTTTTTATTCTTACAGCTAAATCATTCGTATTAATATGTTCATAATCAAATCCTTCGTCTAGAAACGTTCGTGGTATAAAATAGTCTAAGGTTTGATTCGGACATTCTGCTTCAGTGTAGAGAATACCTTCATTTGTCAAATGAATGATGACATTGCCTTTTGTATCTGCTGTAGTACGACCAGCTAGTATAGGAGAATAATTGAGGGTATCCGCCAGAGTGTGGGTGTGGATGTGTGGGTGTGGGTGTGGATGGGTGTGGGTGTGGATGTGTGGGTGTGGGTGGCGTGGGTGTGTGGGTGTGGGGATGTGGGTGTGGGTGGGTGTGGGGTGTGTGGGTGTGGATGAAGAGACGATAAACACCCACACCCACACCCCACGCCCACACCCCACACCCCACGCCCACACCCCACGCCCACACCCCACGCCCACACCCACACCCACACCCCACACCCATACCCACACCCGATTTTTCACGCTGCATCCAATGAGCGTATTTTCAAACATCTCCCATAAGAATACTAATGAAAAAAGCTCATTTTATTGAAAAATTAAGTGTTGTTCTTCCACATGAAAAACATGAATTTTTTTAATGTTTTCTAAGATTTTCGAAATGGTTTTTTGAATTTTTTATCGCAAAAAAGTGACTTAAAATTTTTTTAATGTATACAGTTTTGTAGAGCTCGACGAGCTCTATTCAATCGTATAAAAATATTCAAGAAAAATATTTTACTCCATTCTCGAATCACTGGTACTTTAATTTTCCATCCCGAAAAAAGTATAAAATTTCTGAAAATTTATTAAACTCGACATTAAAAGGTTTTCATAACCCTCACTATTTAATACCAATAAACTCCATTTTTGACGAGCTTTCATTTGATATAAAATTCACTATGTCTTCTATTTGAAATTATAGCGTTACCCCCTGGAATAATATTTTTTCCAACCGTGTACTTTAAAAGTACTTTAATGTACAAAAGTATGATGTTTTCCCCTTCGCTAAATCACTCACAACAACTACAGTCAATATGCTCACACGTCCTAGAGCTGGCCTAAATACTAGTGAAGATAGGCTAAACGGATCCTTTTAATACCCTCAGCTTGTTTATACAGGAACTTGTATTTAAGCAAAATCCTATAGACTTGTGAAATGCTGTCATTGTTACGCTAATATTTGTTATAAAATAAAGTCTCAGTAAATTAAGACGATGTAACACAAGAAATATCTCGTTCACGTCATTTCAGAAGCAGCGGCACAAAACGAAGGAATGATCTGCATATATAGCATTATTCATGAGTAAAGCATTTGGTAATATAATTTACTAGACAGATTGTCGCGAAAATAATTATACAGAATACAAAAATTGATTTTGAAAACGTTTGAGAATTTTACCTGAAAGTCGCATTAGAAGACCCTCCTGAATAGAAGATCCCTCTGGAAATTTTTTACTCTGGGACACGTTAGAAGATCCGGAGTCTTCTAATATGGGGAGAGGTTTAATGCTATTCGGCGACATCTGTTTCTATTAAATTATGACATAATTTGAGAGGCAAATCGTCTATTGTTATTTGATTCGTTTCTTTCAGATAAAATTTCTCACCATTTTTTTTTCTTCACATATTTGAACTTCTTTCTAATCGCTTCAAACTTTTTATTGTATCTTGATAGTATTGATCAATATCAATGTCTGGTCCATCTGTTGAGTTGTCAACAAAACTCATTAATCATTTAAAATATACTTATGGTATTGATGACTCCAATGCTCATACAATTTATAATGAGGCAACCAATCTCTACCATGAATTACTTGCAATGATTGATCTTAGTCCATTACGAACAACTGATAATAAGATATTATCATCGTTAATTATTATAATATGCGAATATTATGATTTCGGTGAAATATCTGGGTATGAAAAACGTAAAACAAAATTTAAATCTTTTTTCTTTCGTAGATTGTTCTTACCGATGATAATGTATATTATCACATTTTGTCAAAATACTGAAGCTGAATATTACTTTCTTCAATGGATTGGTAATTTATGTCAAAGTGAAGATTTGGATGATGGAATGAAAATTTTAAAATATACATTCGAGGAACTACAAAAGTTTTTTTGCAAGTAAAATATTTATGTTTGAAGAATATATTGAATAGATCGTTTCTTTTCTGCTTTTTAGATCAATTTTAATATATCACAATTTACGTCATTTCGTGATTTATTAAAATCTTTACAAAATAACACCGATTCAATGGAAGAACAAATGAATAAGAAGGGTACACATGAACAACAACAGGAAATAAAAGAAGTACAGTATAACAACATCTCTTGTAACAATTATCTAAGATCTTGTTTTTTAGTTCCGTACAAAATTTAATTCATTTTTGTAAGTATGCTTCATTTAAATTCATATAGCAATTAAAATAAAATTGTTTTTTCAGAAATGAAAATGGATTAATATTGTCAGTAAGTTCTTATTAATTTTCTTTTGTTTCATTTTTTAATTTGAAATTCTATTTTTTCAATAACAGGATGAAAGTGAAGATGATCAAGAGGATGATGATGGTCCAAAGGATGATGATCCAAAGGATGATGATAATGATCAAAAGAAAGATAATGACGATGATTGAAACAATGTTTCTTAGATTTAGCAATACAAATTCAATCACATGATGATATAGAAAAGAACAGTTATTTCTTTTTTCGTTTGATAGTAAAACAACGCAGATACTTATTCGTTTTTTTTTATGAACAACTTTGGAGTTATTTTTTTGAAAATTTTCTATACATTTGGATATTAATTTGTCATCAAATAAAAGGAATAAGGATCAAATGAATTCGAGTATTCAGTTGATAATGAAAGTAAATGTTGCCGCTTCTAGCACAATTTAACTGTGTTATGTTCTATTAATAGACAGATTTCATGACTTCGTCAATCGAAATTAGGTCAACAAATAAACACCATTAGTTTCTCATACATGAACACATTATAGACACTTGAGCAGTTCCGATTTCGTTCGAAAGAAACTAGTCCTTTTACAACTGATAATTCCTCAGTTATATAGTAATACTGAATTGATTAATTAAATATTTGATCTCATGCAAATAAGGCATTGAAAGAATAGATACTAAAAATATTATTTGCTCATAGATACTTATAGATTAGAAGGTTGCGGTGAATCATTAGTACCAAATGTTAAATAAATACGACTAAAACTTTATCATTCTTGTCTGTTCTTTCTTGAATATAGTCTATGACAAATTGGAGATGTAGCACTATCGCTACCCTCGACAATAATGTTTATTGAGCTACTTCATCAATC